AAGAAAATAGTAGATGATATAGCATCAGAATGGGTATATGATGTCTATCCTCAATATCTATATGTTAACTAATAATAATAGCATCATCAACCCATAGTTTATCAACAAGTATACTCGTTTCACGACGTTTAGGAGCAGCTTAACACCCACCACCACTACTATCTGAGTAATCATACTTGAGTATCGTTACGACTCTCAACGGTTTTTAGTACACCTCAAGTGGACCTCAAGTGGACCTCAAGTGGACCTCAAGTGGACCTCAAGTGGATCTCAAGTGGATCTCAAGTGGACCTCAAGTGGACCTCAAGTGGATCTCAAGTGGACCTCAAGTGGACCTCAAGTGGACCTCAAGTGGACCTCAAGTGGATCTCAAGTGGATCTCAAGTGGACCTCAAGTGGATCTCAAGTGGATCTCAAGTGGACCTCAAGTGGATCTCAAGTGGATCTCAAGTGGACCTCAAGTGGATCTCAAGTGGATCTCAAGTGGTAGTAGTGCTCCATCCGACGACCACTAGTCAGAAGGGTCATGTGGGTTAAACGTGTTGGTCGCAGCAGCAGCAGCAGCAGAAGGAGCAGGAGTACTTAGTGATGTTAGCCATCAACTTAGTCATCATTCCCATCACGCGCACATAGTCGAACAGTTAGGCTTACGGCTCAAAGTTCTTCTTCTTCTTCTTGTTGTTGTTGCCGTTTGACCAACTTCGTGATGGAGGAACCCTTGTGTGGAACCCCTGCACATTGTGTTTAACATAGCAGTACATCATCATGAACAATTGGATATAAGCTGAAATAGTAATGCTGCTCATATTTACAGTTTTTCTATCACTACCATCATCATGGTATCCACTACTCCTATGCCGCCGCTACATACCTTATGTATGACTTCTATTATGATTGTATTGTTATCCATATATGTTGTTGTTGTTGGTGCTAAGGATGATGATGTTCATGATGATATTATCATAACATGTGGTAGCGTGATCAAATTACAATCCCTATCTCCTGAGGTAATATTTATCGTTATGACTACTACGATATTCAATATGATCATGATCATGATGATACTCAGGATAATGATGATGATGATGATACTCATAATTATCTGAGATCAAGTGGTATATCATGGGGATCTGGTGCTGGTCAACAGATAGTCACTGTAAGAAAAGTGAATAATGGGAATCGAGGTAATAATGGGAATTATCATCCATTGCATAATAATAATAATTACTAATTGATGATTATAGATATAAGCAATGATGTTTATTGGTTAATAGAAGGAGGAGTCGATGACAAGGATGATGATTATGATGATCATGACGAGTGTCTCAGTGGGCATAATATAC